ATTCATGAAAAATTTCTATGCAAAACAAAAGAAGATTTTAGAGATAAACCCATATCATCCATTAATCCTGGGATTTTGGGATAAAGTTGAAAATGATAAGGCTGACGATGCAATGAAAGAGATGGTTGAAGTATTGTATATAGCAACATTAATTCGTTCTGGATATATGCTTGAAAATACCCAAAAGTAGGTTATTGCTATTTTTTTCCTGATATCAGATTCATATGTTAATTCAAAATAAATAAATACAATTCATTTCTAAAATTTCTTTGTAGGTTCGCCTCACTAATCGAGAAAGTTCTTCGACATAATTTGGGCGTGGATCCCAACGCTGAAGCCGTGATTGACATCACTCCGCTTGCAGACGATGATAAGGTGAAGGAAAAGAATTCGAAAGATTTATTTGATGAACTAGATGATGAATCGACAGATCCAACAAAACCACAATTTAATGACGAGAAAAATGATAGTGATGATAAGAAGAATGGAGATGATGAGAAAAAAGAAGAAACCAAACCAAATAGAGAAGAACTTTAAATTTACAAATAGCTTTAATCAACTATTATACTTAATAGATTAATGTTAAAGTAAAATAAATTCTTTCAATCCTCTTTTTTAAGTTTTTTTTTTTAGTTAAAAAATAGGTTTAATTGTGAATTGACTAACTTGTTAAATGATTGATCAAGCGAAGAACATGTTCAGCATATAGCATATACGAGTCAACGAAGTTGAATTTTTTCAAATCATCAACATGCCTAATAGATTAATATACTTGTATCATATAAAAAAGAAGTTGAAACCTAACATCATCATATATATACAGTATTTTGATCAATGAAGTGAATAAATTGATTTTAAAAAAAGATGTAATTTGTTTTAACGCGAAATTTTTGTCAGATGGTGCACTGCATACGTCAAAAAAATAAGAATTAGCATAATATTTAATTTATTTAATTTATTTCCACTTTGAAATGATGCCATCACGAAAGCTCGGCTGTTAATGCAAGGAAGCCGTATATTATGTTGGCATTTTGCGCCCAGTATAATTTGCTTTGTACTACTGTCGTAGCATACATTAGCCAATCTATAAGAAAAATGCATACAGTAAAAGCAAAACAGTGACGCGCAAATTCTGCTAATAGCTAGCGACCGACTCGCCGATCATCCAAATGTCACATAAATGATGAAAAATAAAAATTATTTGTTCTTTGTATTTTATATATTCAATTAATCATATTTAAAATCTTTATTGACTTTCTAGTTTATCGGTAAAGATTCTTTTTTTACACATGGCACACTGTATACGTAAATAAAACTATCGAATAAATTTAGGATATTCTGGTTCGTGTTGACAGATGTACCGCGGTGGAGAACCAGATGTGTTCCCAGCTTTTGACTGAAACAGTTTTAAATAAAGGTGTTTCATCGATAAAGGCAACTTGTTGTTTATGCTTTGTGTGTGTATTGAATTTTTGTAAATGGTAAAAATAGCTACAAGTCTACGTTGGAATTTCAATCATATGGACTACCCGATAAATCGATAATAAAAGAACAAGCCCACAATACCAAAACCAATAATTGCTTGCGAGTAATAGTAAAGTGAATCACACATTTTCAAATAAAGTAAGTCATCTGATGAGTAAAGTTACAATGTTATTTAGTAAAATAGTAAAATAGGCAATAATATAATGAATTGGCCTGTCACCAAAATTAAGATAAACAGACACGAATTAAAAGTAAAGTGCATAAAACAAGTAGAAAAATAAAGAATCGCGTCTGTGAAATTAATTGAAACACGGATGACCAAAATCACGTATTCACAAAAAATTATGGATTTTAAGGTATAAAATGGACTAAATGAACCAACACGACTCGGACAGAAATCAAAAAAATGGAAACTCAGATCAGCTGCGCCGTCAAAGCAAGCAACGAACTTGTAAAGAATTTACACCGTGATGGGCTGGATCGCGGGATCATTGCAACGTTTAACACATCTATGGTGGTTAGGCAGGTAAGGGACGTTCTGTGTTAGTCACTCCTGCTACCATTAATTATTAACCTTCGCTCTATTTATGTGACACCTTCTTCTGAAGGCCTTTACCAAAGATGAAGCATCACTTCATCGTTCCCTTAACAGATTAACAAATGTCGCCAGCGGTGGTACACG